CACACCTAGATGCAAATCAGGCTGGAAATGCAGACTTTTAGCTGGGCATGTCACCAGTCCAAATAATTCCAGGGCTCTGTTACTAAAGGAGAGGAGAGTAGGTATTGAAGAGGCCACTAGCGCTTGCAGGTACTTTCCCTGGGTCACGCGTTAACTGCCAAGGGAACAAAAGGGAAGCAAGTCTGCTAGACCTGGGCTGAACAACCTTATAGTGTTCAGACCATGTCCCAGTCTTTGGGAGACCTGCCAAGTGTCAAGATTTCCATCCTCCTTATTTCCTTCTCTTTAAAATATAATCTTATTTTAAAAAATAACTGAAGTAGTCTTCTGGGTTCTTTTTTCTACTTAAAAGAAACTAAATAATATAGGCCCACTTACCAGCATGTATCTGGCATACAAAAAGTTCTCAGTAGATGTTCATTAAACTGAATTCCATGAATAATCATATACTCTAAACATGTTCAGATATAACAAGCTAAAAAACAACATAACTAAGGATGGTAGAGTATGATAAAAGCTTGATATAACCATTAAAATAAGTGGGTGCCACAAACCAAAGTTTACAAACTGCAGAATCCTTCTATATAAAAAACTAACAGCCCTAGGGCTTATTAGGAAATAAGCCTAAGCTTACAGACCTAGAATAGGAACAAAGAAAGTTAATCCAAAAATAAATAAAATCAGGATGGCCAGTAGAATTCTAGTCCCAATTGAAAATCCAGCCTCAAAATGAAGTGATGTCTTTATTATTCTACAGGGAATTGCAGTCTCTCCTTTTCTTACTTCATCCTGACCTTCAGCCATTTCTGTGCTCTTTAGCACTGCTGAGACTTTCCAGAAGACATTCCAGAAAGTTTCTTAATACAAGTTAATGCAAGTCTTTCAGTCCACAATTAGAATCAAGCTTTGAAATGAAGATGATGTGAGAGCATACTCACTTAAACTCACATTAAAAGGTACGTGACTGACCCTGGAGCCTCTCTGGGCAAAGCAGAGCTGACTTGGTGAGGAATGGGAGATGGTTCACTCACCAGGAGAGAGGGAAACCATGTGAGATGGGTGTGCACTTGAGAAAATGGAGTTCTTGAAGATGGGAAAGTGAAATCAGGAAGTGAGGACTAGGGGAAGAGATAGTTACACAGCCATGTTCATACCAGCATTAAAGCAACCCAAGTGTTCACCAACAGATAAAAGGATAAAGAAATTGTGGCATACACATGCAATGGAATACTACTGTCTTACAAAGGAAGGAAATTCTGACATATGCTACAACATGAATAAAACTTGAAGACAATATTCTAAGTGAAATAAACCAGTCAGTCACAAAGGGACAAACACATTATGTCTCCACTTATATGAGGTACCTAGAGTAGTCAAATTCACTTGGGGCTCAGTGTTTTAGACTCCGCCTGCCAATGCAGGAGACACTGGTTTAATTCCTGGTCTGGGAAGACCCCACATGCTAAAGGGCAACCAAGCAAGTGTGCCACAACTACTGAGCCTGTGCTCTAGCCCAGGAACTACGGAGCCCATGCATCACAACTGAAGCCCCAGCACTAGAAAGCCTGTGCTCTGCAACAAAAGTCACCGCAATGAAAAGCCCACACACCCCAACTAGACAGGAGCCCCTAACATCATAACTAGAGAAAAGTCCCACGCAAAAGCAAGGAAGACTCAGCACAGTCATAAATAAATTAAAGTAGAATGGTGTTTGTCAAGGGCTGTGGGGAGCAAGGAGTTATTGTTTAGTGGTAAAAGGGTTTCAGTTTTGCGAAGTGAAGAGTTCTGGAGAGGGATGGCAGTTATGGTTGTACATAATGTGAATATACTTAAATACCACTGACTGTGCACTTAAAAATGGTTAAGATAGTGATTTTTATGCTATGTGTATTTTATCACAATTGAAAATATATATTAATTTTTAACCAAATTGAAAGAATATCTAGGCATTAAAAAATAGGGAAAACAGAAGCAACTTGTTTGCTTCATGACTTTGCCTAGGTCTTCTACTTCTGCCACCAAAGGGTCAGAAAGGGCACTTTCTTAACTGACATGGCAAAATTGAGGGGACAGTACAGAGATCTCCCATGTTCCCCCTTCCCCAACACATGTATAACCTCCCCCTTACCAATATCCCCACTAGAGTGGAACGTTTGTTTTAACTAATGAATCTTCACTGTCACATTACAATCACCCAAAGTCCATAGTTTACATTAATATTCACTCTTGGTGTTAGATATTCTATGGGTTTGGAGGGAAATTTTTTTTTAATAATTCATAGTTTCAGAAAAACCCAAACAAACTTTTTGGCTAACCCAATATTAAATTATTCATGATGACTCTATTGCATTAGAACCCAACATGCGCAGAAGAGTGTGTTAAATGTGCATTAAAATAATAGAAATGTAAACATTTGCTATTCAAAGCATGGTCTGAAGACAGCAACACAGGCAGGCCCTGGGAGGAATGTTAGAAATGCAGAAGCTCAGGCCCATTCCAGACCTACAGAATCAGAATGTGCATTTATCAAGATTCCCAGGTAACTCATCATGCATTAAAGCTTGAGAAGCATTGTTGTAAACGATTCAGAACTGCTTGATCCGTTGAGATGGAAGGAAAATAGGTTATTAAAGTGCATTATTGTACTGTTGAGTCAAATTGAGGGAAAGGTCCATGTTTTGCTATTCCTTAAGTTCTTAAAAATGATTAAAGCCAAATCCATTTATTGTTTTGAACATAAAAAATACTTAAAACTGAAATTTTAATTCAATTTGTTGAAGACAGTATTCTCTGAAGACTGTATATAGCCAAATCCTAGCTTTTACAGAAGAGAAAAGATTAAAAGCAGCGAAGTGCCAAACACAAAGCTCTCACTGAGTGGCTGATGGTAGATGTGAAATTCCAAGAACTCATCATTACAGCAGAATTAATGCATGGTGGAGTAATATACTCACCAAGGAAAGTACTGCCCCTCATAAATCTTCAAAACAGTGAAATTTTGGTCACTGGTAATGTGAGGAAAATGACTAATATTCACAGCCAACTGGATTCACTTACTGAGATAAAATGATATACAGAGAGGTCAGAAAATATATGCTCAAATGTCCAATGAACACAAAAGGGTAAAAAACTTGACAAATACATATATATGTACCCAATACTAAAATAGGGTAAGAAAAAGAGAAAAACCCATGTTTGGATTGAGAAAGCCTTCTCAATGGGATTTTTTATGTGGTTTTATTCTAATGTGATTTCCCCCATTACCTCTGCAGCAGTTAGTTTCGATGCTAAGTTTACACTCAATGTGTGTGTGCATGCTCAGTCACTCAATGGTGTCCTATTCTTTGCAACCCTTTGGATTGCAGTTGGCCAGGCTCCTTTGTTCATGGGATTTTTCAGGCAAAATTACTGGAGTGGGTTGCCACTGCTCCCTCCAGGGGATCTTCCCAACCCAGCAATTGATTCTACATCTCCTGTGTCTCCTGCATTGCAGGCAGATTCTTTACCTGCTGAGCCACTGGGGAACACCTTATACTTAATATGAAGAATAAATTCCTAACAGGAGGATAACAATTAGTAACTGTAAATATAAAACAAAGATGACTGGGGGTGGGAGCAGAGGGGCAACTGCAATGCACGATTCTATCTCTGACACCAGGACTTCATGACTGGAAAACACTTTCCACTTAATGAGAATCCTCAACAGTTACTGGGATCTCCGCCTGCTTTCATTTTCTTTTTTTCTGGCATACTTCCATTCACTCTGGCTTTTGCGATAGTAAAAATAAGAAAACCTGACTCACCTAAACCAAGTGTTATTTTACAAGTACAAACTGAAAATCAATCTACAGTGTGGCTTGTTTTTGCAACTGCTGTTGATTTTAAGCAACAATCCAGAGAACCCCTTGAGCCTTATATGAGCTCATCAGTAGCAAAAAAAAATCATTCTTAAATAATTTTTAATGTTTTTCAGAGTGAAAAATAAATTCTTCAAACTGCTAAATGTCTTGGCACATTCCGTATGCCCGCCTAGCGTTCCTGTCACCCAATGAAAGCAGAGTTGAAAGTAAAACCTCACCCCATGGCAAAATTAGAGGTGGATTTGGCTGCTGATTATTTGAAATGACCATAACATCTTAGTACTTGATTCCAGGTCCACAGGTGAAGTCTTCAGGGATGAATTTCATACTTTCATAAATGCTTTACTGACATTTTATCAATCTTATAGAACAATAGATAACATTTTGTTATCTGATAACAACTTAAAAACAGGGAGGAAGTTGTAAGAAACAAGAAGCCACCCTTATGCTGTGATAAACATCTGCAGGCTTTGGCAACTGTCTGCTGAAGCAGTTTGAAAACAAAATGTTTTTATCTCAGAAGAGAGCTACACTGAAAGCTATACCTTTGACAGTGGCAAAAACGTGGGACACATGAAGCTGAGACTCCCAGATCAGCTGCGAGTGGTGACTAGGTCTGCTGCTAAATGCCTGCTGTCACCAGATCCCGGGAAAGAACAAAGTAACATGGAGCTGAGCTGGTGTTCACCATGTGCAGGGGAACCTGCTCTGTGACTCCCAGCAACCTGAAAAATCACAGAATGAATGTTCAACCTAGAAAGGAAGCCTGAGGTCCCACATATACATGCCCATTAGAGAAGGAAACTGAGACCCATTCCAAGAACCTATGTCATATAAATGAGATATTAAACTTCATTTCCTTTCAAATTAATTCAGCTTTGTCCAATCACATGAAATGAAGATTCTATATACTAAACCTTCCCTATATTCTCCTTATAGCTATTTTTGCCTCAGTCTTGAATACCTACATTTAGATGCCCTCCAAAATGCACAACTAAGGCATTATAAGTGTTCCCCTCTGGCTCCCAGAAACCATTAAGAGCACCTGAAAATACACAGAATCACAGAAAAATAAAGAACACATTTCATGGACACTTGCTGTTTTACCTAGACAGAGAAACTATTTACTTAAGCAAATTCTGGGTCTTTTAGAAGACAGTGTCAATTTTATTGCTTTTTGAAATGATATCTAAAGCCTGAAAATTTGCACATAAGCAATTTCCATCTTTAAATATATTTATGTGGTAAGGTAAAGTACATGCGTATGAAGATACAGAATTTTTTTAATCATCATCATTTACATTAGAAATTTCTTTATACAACTTTTATCTTTAAAAAAATTAGTGACTGGTAAGAATCCTCTGAGACGGCAGCAAATCCAGCTTTCCATTTCAGCAGCCTTTCACTGAGAGACATGAGTGATGGCAGATGAAGGCCTCTTAAGAATAGACTCAACAGAAAATGACAGGGGCTCATTCACGGAGAGCTTTGTTCCGACTTGTTTGGCTACGAAAAAGTCTTTTGCACATCTATCTATTGTAAATGTGTATTTCTGGTTCTCCTTGACTAAACACTCCCTGGGTTTCTTAGGGGCCTCTTCAAAGGCCTCTTTGACAGATGATGTTTTCAACTCGGGACCTGATTTGTCATTATGAGTCTGTTGGAATAATGAGTGGAATGGATTATGTTTAAGTGGCAGAGGGTGCCTGGTGCTTTCTTTGCTGATCTTGGTTAAGACGTGCCCTTGAGCTGCCATGGTGTCCGTGTCAACAACTGGCGAGAAATTCCGTCGGGGTGGGGAGAACGCAGACCTCTCCGGGAGGGCCTGGTGACCCTGCAGGTCACTTCTTAAGATGTGGCCCTCAGGAGTGTGAGGCAGCACCAGAGAGCCTTCCAATTTCGGTGGCATCATGTCATGATCTGCTGCAAGTCCATCCTGCAGTCGCACTCCCTTCAAGTCCCAGCTGGTCCCAGGCTTCAGGGCCTGAACTGACGTGGTAGCGTTCAGCAGGCACTGCTGGTAGAGGAGGGTGTCACTAATAGGGCCACACTTGGGCCAAACTAAAAGTCTCGAGGATAGGGGATACTGTCTGTAAGTCGTGGCCACGCTGACATTGGAAGAAATTAGTTCCATGTTCCCAGAGCCTGAATACTGCATGGTGAGATCAAGGCAGGTGGGCAAAAAACTGCAGAAGTCCTTGCTTGGTGGTTCCACTGGGGTGGGGCTGTAGGCACTTTTGTAGGAGCTGTACTCAGAACCGTGCACCATGCGGTTGGGCAGGAATAAGGCAGCAGCTTGGGAAGCTTCCAACATCTCCCTCTCTTTATATTCTCTCTCCAGCATAATGTTCTCCAACTCTTTATCCGCAAAGGCCCTCCTTTTCCTCATCCGGTCACTTACTGGGGGAGGTAGAGGTAAACTCCCTCCCACATAAGTCTCTGACGGGATGGGGCGGTAGCCTAAAATAAGTAAGCATTGCACATGACAGAGATTAACACCTAATAAGGAAAAATCTGGAAATCCAGAAGGCAACAGAAACAATGCATATCGACACAACAGTTATGTACAGTTTCATATCACTAGTATTTTTATACAGAAAGCAAAAGTATGGGTTCAATTTAAAATGAATCCCTTCCCAGGGAAGGATATCCATACTGTAACTTTTTATTGTTGTTGTTTCTGTTGTTATGATAGGTTTGTTTATTTTGACAGGCATACTTTACTGGCTGAAATTTTAATATTCTTCCCAGGCTCCTATATATTAAGAAGACAAGGTTGCTCAGCTTGCTTCAATCAATTCTTTATTACTATCCATGTCACCTTTTTCCATTATTAAAAAAAGATATCTATACCTAGAGCTGATGTCACTTTTATTTTCTAAAGTTGGCTCATTATGTACACATTGTTACAGTTGCAGAATAATCCAAGGAGAACTAGGGAAAAAGAGAAAGTTAAAGAAGATTAGTGAGGAGTAAAAGATGAAAGACTTAAGGAAACAGAAAAGCATAGAAAACTGAAAAGAGCTGTTAACTAGATAAAGAGACTCTGCAGTGAACAATTTAAGTGGGCCCCTACCCCCACCTCCGACTACCAGTACAAACAAAGGCTAGAGTATCCCCTGCTATATGGAAAATAGCTGATCTAAAACATTTTTCACCAGTACTAATCATGTTGGCCAGATACCAAAATGGTTGAACAAGCAATCACTAGCACATAGATTAAGTCATTATACATCTTATAAATAGGGATAAAATAAAAAACAAAGATTAGTATAAAACATAAATAGAATTCCTGGCACCATAAAATATTTTGAGTATTTCATCAGCCCCAAGCACTCACCACTGTCAAGTTTGTTTGAAGGATTCATTGTGATGTTTGTGTTTACATAGTGACAAGCCCATCATACTCATTTGCAAATAAAATATAATTTGAAAATGAATGTGTACATTTCTATGGTGAGCTCTTGCCAGAAAGTTATTTACTTGGATTTTCTATTCCATTTCGTCCTCCCACTTCTCAAGTTGCTTTGGCACAATTTCAATTTATCAGTGTGGTCCCTATGGTTATAAATCTGTTTACCCAGTTTGTAACCAAATTCATTTTGAATGCATGAGAAGCCATTCTAAGGTCAGAAGTATACAGCGCAGGGTGAGACATGAGCAAACTTAAAACCTGTCCAGAAACAACTCAAATCAGAAGCCACATAGGAAAAACAATTCAAATGCCTACTTTAAAAAAAAAAAATCTGCTTTTCAACCTGAGCCTTATGAAATGGCAGCAATTAGAGCAAATATAAACCTTCCTTGTCTTTAAATGGTGAGAGACTGTCAGTATATTATTTATTATATCAATAAATTTCATATCCAAACTTAACCATTTTTAAAAATCACTAGTATTTTAAGAAAAAGTTAAATATCCCCAAGCTTTAGAGAAAACAAACACATGGAGAGAGACATCACTCTGTTCAAAGTCAACCTCCACTTCTCTTGTGTGATTCAAAACTTTTTCCACGTTCTACAATCTACCAATTGTCAATATAGCAAAATGAAGAGTGGAATAACTGCAATTTAAGTAGATAATCCAGAGAGAAAAGGAGTACAATTAAAAAGAGGGATTAATGGCTGGACTGCCCAGACTGAAGGCAATGGGTAGCTGTTAAACTCCTCATTGACTCATTCTATTTAGTTCCAAATGAAACTAAAGATTTCTTTTAATTAATTTCCTTCTAGGACATCTGCTCTGGGATCACTTGGCAGTGTATCTGTACATCCCTCACACTAGGGCAAATTTCACATGTACTCCATGTTAACCCATTAACTACTAGGCAGAAAACAAAATTACCAGTGGAAAAAAAGGAGGTTATGTGAGATTAATTTTCCCAAATACTGATTTCTATACAAAACCCAAACTTTCCAATAAAAAGCAATTCCCCCTCAGATTGCTCCTTCACAGATAAGTGAAAATGCCATGTGCCTGAATAATGAGAATCACTGAGAACACAGTTTAAACGGCTAAAGGATAATTCTGCGTTGCTTTACCTTCTAAAATGCTTTTGGCCAGCAAACTGGGTGCCCTGACTTGCCTCTGGTACACTGCTTTGCGCTCGAAATTATGCTGTTTCCCAGAAAGCCCCTTCTTGTCCTGTAAACACAAGAAACATAATCAATAGAGCCCTGAAAAAAAAAGTGTTAACAGAAGGGAGAGGCATGAGTAATCCTCCTCCTTCTAAATTTATTTATTTTCCCATCCCATGTGAAAATGATTCTAAACAAATTAACATCAGCACCTCTTAATTCCAGGACAATTAGCTAGATGCTCTGTCCGAACCATCCAACTGGGAGGCAAGGGCCTGGGATTTCCCTGGGGCCACTGTGCGAGAGTCATCTAGACATAGTCCACATTCAGAAATGGGGGGACAGCCGGGGAGGAAGTGAAATTCACAGTGGATGAGATGGTAGGAGCCGGACCCTAAAACAAAGCTGCGGCGAACCGCTGTGACCTCGGAGCCCAGCCTAGGGCCAAAGACGCCGCCGGGCACCCGACGTTGGCCAGAGATGTGAAGCAGGTTTCTCCTCGAAGCAGGGCTGATGGGATCGATGAGATCGGGTACAGGGGGTTCACGGGGAAAAGTCGAAAGTTTTCAGGTCTGCCCAAAACTCCAAGCTGTTCACTGGGCACCCGAAGGTGAGCAAAACCAGAGTAGATGGAATTCCGGGCCCCTCCCCACCCGCGTCCCCTCCCGCACGCCGCGGGGAGCTCGAGCGAACGCAGAGCCCGCCTTGCAACCCGCGGGACACCGGAGGAGGCCGCGCCGCGGCCCAGGCACCTCTGGAGTCCCGTGCGCCGCGCTCTCTGGGGCCCTTGGGAGGTTTCCCATGAGGATCACTGCCCAAGGCTTGCATGTGGTCCACTCCCGGCCCCTTCTCGCCAAAAAGTAGTATCAAAAATTCTCCTTCCACCCCCAAAAATTCTCTCTTCGGAGCGCGCTTGCGCAGGGACACAAGGACACACACACAGTCCCCGGCCGAGGTTCAAGAAGACCCTCTCCATTAAACAAGATTCAGGCTCTCCTCACAGCCATAAGCCCCGCGCTAGCGGCAGAGACCTGTCAACTGGTTCTTAGGTAGTTCTCCTCGAAGGCAGACGTTTCTTCTAAATTCCACGTCACTTTTGTTCTCATCTGTAAAAAATGGCAACCCACTCCAGTCTTCTTGCCGGGAAAACCCCCTGAACAGAGAAGCCTGGTGGACTACAGTCCGTGGTGTCGCAGAGTAGGACACGACTCAACACACGCGTAAATAGGCAGCACTTTCCTAAATGGCCCGTGACTGCGGAAGCGCTGTGAGCTCTACGTGCTGGGTGGTTCTTTTTCTCGATCAGCTGGGTAACACGGCCATGGACTTAGGGCGCTGCATGGGCCTCTGTCCTCCGCTTCCCCCCCCCCCACCAAAATAAACGTCAAAATATAGAAAATCGATTTAAAATTAAACGACGGAACTAAACCACTTTCAAGACCTCTCTGCCTGCTTCTTAACACAAAATCTTTTCTGCCAAGTTCCCCAGCGATGGCCATGGCTTCCCGCCTCCGGACACCGCAGGCCAGCGTGGGCGGAGGTGTCCTCAACATCCTTCTGAGGCAGGGCCAGGCGCCTCGAAGACCCGGGCCGGAGAGTGTGCGGAACCCGCCTCCCCGACTCCCGACCCCCACCGCGGCCCGGGACACCCGGGAAGGGGCGAGCTGGCTGGCGGGTACGCACCTCCGTGGCCTGCTGCCTCCGGAGCGCCACCTGGGCGGCCATGACGCGCTGCCGCTCCACCACCAGCAGGCAGTTGGCGCACTGGCAGTCACGCCAGCGGCAGAAGCGCTTGTGGCCCTTGAGGCAGGACACCACGCCGTGGTTGCGGCAGCGCGCGCACTTGGGCGTGCGACTGAGCTTGCGCGGCTCCGCGCCGCCGCCCGCGTTTGTCGTCCTCGTCCTCCGCGTCGTCGTCGTCCTCGTAGGCAGGCGGCGGGCTGGGCCCGGGCGGCGTTGGCGGCGGTGCCCCGCAGCTGTCCTCCTCCAGCTCCAGGCTCTCCACGTCGATCTCCCAGTCCACGGCGGGACCCGGCTGCCCGTCCGCCATGGCGCACCACGCCTCGCCCGGGCCTATGCTCAGTGGCCTGCGCTCTGGAGAGACAGGAAAACACCCAAAGACCCACCGACCGACCGCCGTCAGGCACTGGCCCCAGGCCTGGGGCCCAGAGCGCCTGGTCTGCCCGCCTCCGACCTCTTGAGAAGCCCACTTCTCTACATGTCCTTCACATCCAGACCACACGTGCATTTATTTCTTGTATCTTTAGGCCCCCTCACGGATCTCCAACCCAACAAGGTTCCTATCTGTGCATTCTAAGTGCTCTGTGAACACCTGACCTTTAATCACAGCCCTCTCTGGCTTTACACAAGCTTTTGGGACAAGTCCCTGGGTAAAGATAGTGTGTTCAACTACCACGGCTTTGCCACTAGTCAGGCTTTGCCATATCCAACTAGTTTAGCCATGATGAATATAAAAATGTCCATGGAAGAACTGTTTTCTTTCAGATCACAAAGGACTTTCGGACCCTGCGAGGTACCACCCACAATACCCACACACCTGTCATCCTCCTACACCTGTCAGGCTTGGAGAGGTTCTCTTATCCTCCCCCAAACCCACCCCACACCCCAGCACACTCCCCCCAACCCAGAGTACTCCAGATTTAATCAACTAAAAATCAAAGTTGTTTTGCTGCCAATAGAGTCCCATGGGGACATTGGACACAGAGCTACAGACACCCGTCCAGCATCAACAGTGTTTCAGCCCCGCAGCACTAAAGCCAGGCGGGCTCTGTGTACATCGTTCATGCTTTGCACTTAAAGACAAGACATACAAGTAGAATAGGAAAGGTAGGGAAAGATGATTCACGTCCTTTGCCCACCCCAGCAACATCACATCAACTCACCAAGACTCTGAGGCCCCGGCTAAGCAGCCTAGGCAAAAGAAATCCAGCCTTGGAACCTTGCTCTTGGGCTGCTGGCAGTGCTTGCAAACAGAAATCGGGGTCGCCACACCCTGTCAGGAAATCGGGGCTGACAGCTGGAGGCCCGGAGTCCAGTGGATGAGGAGTGGAAGAGAAGGAGCATGGGGAAGGTGAGTCAAATTCTTAGCGACCACGCTCCGCACATCCCAGACTCTGATCATTCCTCAGCAGCCAGGCGCTTCACCTCGCTGAGGCTTGCTTCTGGCTTTCTCTGACCCTAGCTGAACTGGAAGGTTGGGCCGTCTTGACCAGGTTTCGATCCCGAGTTCCCGGAACGCGCGGAAGGGCGGTCGCAAGCAGCAGCGAACAGCGCAGTGCCCGTGGCTGCAGTCGCCAGCCTCGGCTCCCTTTCCTAGTATTATCCGCTCGGGCCCCCGAGCTCTGTGCCCGCTGATTGGCCGGTTGTCAGGCGGTGTGCACGCTGATTGGCCGAGGCGCTTTGGCCCGGCGCTCCCCGCCTCCTCGCGGCCGCCGCGCCCCTCCCGCCGCGCTCCGCCGGAATCCTCCCTGGCGGCCTTCGGTGCAGCCGGGAAGTCTGTCCCGAGGTTAAAGCCGAAGTGTGACGGCGCCGGCGGGAGCGATGTCGCCATTTATCTCATGGGCTAGAAAATAAGCAGACAACAGTCTTACAAATCACGTTGTCCTCAAGAGAAAGTAACAGACAACGAGGTCAGCTTTCAGAAAAACAAGTCATCAGCATCACTAGTGTGTCTGCGACTCAATCATTAACCCAGTATTAGGAGCGGAAATAAGAGTAGAGCACGGAGGCATCCTACTTTCTCCTGCAAGAATAAATCAACGGTTACCATGCACCACAGCGCCGGCTTAGAGGACTTAATGACCTGCAGATACTTTTGGGGCTAGCGCCACTCACCCTCAAGGTGAAAAGTGGTTCCTCGTTAACTTTCACCACGCCCGTGAGACAGGCAGGTCACCAAGTCACTTATATTTTTCTATATGAATTCCTGTGAGTTGATTTGGGAGAGAACGGATGTACGTACGTGTCACTAAGAGATCTAAGTACAATATATTCACTCTAAGCATTTTTTTTAAACGAAACCTCCTTTTACAGAGGACTTTTTGGTATTCGTCAATGTATTTATAAGAGGGAAAAGGGCTCCTTCTTAAATCTCTTACGTAAATGTTTAACAACGGTTACGTTTCCGACATCCTGAAAAAGGGAATTAGTCTTCCTGAATGTTTTTCTGACATCCTGAAAAGGGGAATTAGGGAATTCAATGCTGCATTTTATTTCTTGAACTAAACATAAAGTCACTTGAACACTTTTTCTAGTTATGCCTTTAAATAATCAGTGCCTCTTAGGATTGGTTTAGAAGGCAGATTAGAAAACTGAATGCCAGTGCACTGAACACATAGTAGGCCCGCTACAGATATTTGTTAAACAAAGTAAATTACTGAAAGTTAGAAGTTAACCGCTAGTGGTAAAGAACCCGCTTGCCAATGCTGGAGAAGCAAGAGACGTGGGTTTTGATCCCTGGGTCGGGAAGATCCCCTGGAGGAGGGCATGGCAACCCACTCCAATATTCTTGCCTGGAGAATCCCATGGACAGAGGAGCCTGGCGGGTCGAAAAGAGACCGACACGACAGAGCAACTGAGCAGGCAAGCAGGCAGAATTAACCAAGCTCCAAGAGGTGGGAACGAGGCATCTTAGGAAAGACTACTGTGAAACTAACGCTATGTGCTGGAGGCGCAGGTATGCCAAATCCTCTGGCGATGCGGAAAGTTCTTCCCTAGTTACCGGGCACTGGGATTTCTCTCTGTGCGGGTTCTTCTCCCTAGAGCCGCTTTCCATGCCCAGCAAAGGAAGTAGAGAAACAGTTCTGTTTATTGCTGTCGGCTGCTCAGTCCCTCTGAGCATTTCGGAGGGTGACTGGGAGCTGTGTCCACTCAAACACAGGACAAAGAGCCAAGCAGACTCCTGTTTGGCACCACCTAGTAACACTGTGATTGTTAACCTTTTGCGTAGTTTCTTACATTCATCAATGCGCGTGTATTCACCAGTGTTAGAGAGCCTGAATTCTTGAAGGCAGAAGTGTGTTATTTGTCCCGTTTTTTCCAATGATGAAACCGAAGTTCAAAGAGGAGCCCTGGGTCACCCAGTGGGAAGGCAGTGGACTGGTGTGCAAGGTCCTAGGTCGGCCTCTGTTCTGAAGTCTCAAATTCGAGAAGCCCTTCGCTTCAAGCCAGAAAAACTCACAATGGTTTCGTATTTTTTATTTTATTTTCCTGCACGGCTTCTGATTTTAGTACCTGCCCTTCTGTGTCTCCCCGTTAGCTACGTTTTTACCTTTGTAAACAGCCTTTTCATTGCTTCTACCGAGACATGCTAACGAACTACAAACTTCCAACACTGCGGGCTGCATGGGCAAGCAGTTGGCCAACTGGGTTTTTATTTAATTTAGTGTTTTTACCGCGGGAGGGGGCGGAGGACAGGAAATCATTAGCCCTTCGCTAGTTGTTTTAAACATTAAGAAACAAAATTAAGAAAGTAGGTTTGCTAAACTAGTGGTTACCCTAAGGGAGAGGGAAGGCACAAAAAAAGTTTGCAAATTTTGGGTAACTCGATTGAGGGGAGGGGGAACCAAAAGAGAATGAGAGGGGAAAGGGGGCGGGATCTGCTGTTTCCTAAACATAAAATAAACAAGACAGGCAGCCCTTGAACTAGTTCGAGTTGTAAAAGCTGCTACACAAGGAGGAAACACGTGCAATTTGTGAACAGTAAACCGTGCGGGCTGAAACCAGGACAAGGGATAGGAGTTGGGGGGAGGCGGGGCACCTGAGGACCATGAAGGCAGCTCCTGAAAGCGTATGGAGAGTGCGAGGCGCTCAGAAGTCTGAGACCGTCGTTGCGCCTTCCCCTGCGCCGCATCCTGCTAGATTTGGTGAAAGCTGTGCCCGAGAATTTTCTGGAGGGGTGGAGCTCTCTGGATCCAGGTGGGTGGGTCTGGACCGTTCCCTCCACTGCACGCCAGCCCCCACCCTTCCTCCCTCATTAAAAATCTACATTGCAGCCCTATTGCTTCCTCCGGACTTCCCCACCCATCTCCAGGTACCTTCGCCATCCTGTCCTATTCTCCTTGCACCCCACCTGTGGTACTTTGGGAGCAAGCAACTGTACTCATGATCCCGTTGAATTACACTCCATTCCCTGAGCCTGAATTCCCCAAGAAGATGAAGATCCCTCCAATTGCTGAGAGATGAGATGGTGTGGGAGTGGAGAAGTTTTTATCTTAGGAGGAGTTTAGGAAAATCTGAGGGACTCTAATATTAAATCAGAAATTATCTGGGTGGAGGCGGGGCCATGACTGCAAAAACTGGTTAGTAAACTAAATATACAGAGGCAGCAGGAGTGAGAGAGCCTGGGCTGGTTGTTGGTTGTTCCATCCATTACCTTATTTGGTTAATTATATCCCTGGGCCTCAGTTGCCTTATCTGCAAAATGGGAAGAACGTCCATCTTTGGCCCGTTGTAATAAAGAGAACAGTTTTCACACAACGGGAGTTTAATAAACGTTATTTAGCCAGCGGGCGGCCGCCCTTGCAGCCCCAGGGGGCCCAGCCACCTAGTGTCTCCCAAACTTGACTGACAGGCGAGGGCGCCAGGAACCCAGCTCCTTTCCCCGGGGCCTTCTCTGAAATGGGGTCAGGCCCTGACTGCAGATCTATTAGGGGAAGAAACAGAAGTTCTTTTGGCTTGTAAACCAACAGTAAATTACAAAGTGCAATTCAGCCTCTCTCTTGTAAATTACAAAGCTGCAGGCTGCCCGATCTCGCCAGCCCCCCATGGTGGGGGTAGCTTCGGGAGCGTCTTCTTTCCGAGCTGGCCGGCCCCTTCTTCTTCTCCCTCTCCCATTCCTCCAACTCTTTCTCATCTCGAACCCCTTTCCTTTCTCTTGAATCTCGGACACACGCAATGCTAACTTCCCCCCCTACCCCACGTCAAGTCAATCAAGGGAACCTGGAGGGGTGGGGGACAGAAAGGGGAGAGGGGTGGAGAGTTTCCCTCTTTCAAAATGATAGGGACTTTCTTTTCTGTTCTCAAACAAAAAAAAAAAAAAGCACGTTTCAAATTGGCCGTGCTCGCCCGTCAATTCCTTGCTAAGAATCGCAGCCGGCCGCCCACCACGCCAGCTCAGGTCCCACTTCAGGACGCCGAGCTAACCAAGCCTGGCCCGGCCATTCCCGCCGCGTTCTCTGAGGCCCCGGCTGCTAGAATGGAGCGGGGTTTCTGGGTGCAGCCTCCTCTAGGGTAATCGGCTTGGAGGCCGAGAGTCTGGGTTTGGGAATAGGCTCTCAGGGGTTAAAATGCTTGATCTGAGGTTCCTTGGCTGGGGACATCGAGGAGGGTCCTTAACTCCCTCTGCAACTCACTTTGCACAACTGCAAAGTGAAATTAACCTTAAAGGAAAAGATATGTGCAGACTCCTTGGCACGGTGACCCGCCCGCACTAAACGGTCAGTACCTAGGAGTTATTTGTCTTCGTTTTATCATTTGAACTCAAGGAACTGGCCTGCGGAGAGCCCGAGGGAGCCCGAAGCCGGGAAAAGCGAGCCCGATTTCCTGGGTCCTCGCCCGACCTTCCAGCATCCAGGCCGGGAGGTGAGGCCTGCGCTGCACCGCCAGCCGGAGCGGCCTCGCGACGTCAACCTGCCGGCAGCGCCCGGGGTGTTGAATGGTTTTTGGAACCTTCTAGGCACCGCAGAAGAGCTCTGCTGTGGCTAATAAACGCTCCGGTTTCTTTTCAGAAGACAACCTCAAATCCACCGCCTCTCGCGGAAGGCTACTCTTAACGTTATATCGTCTCACAACTTCGACCGGCTGTGGACGCAGCGAAATAAATAATCCCAGATGGGACTGCGGCGATTCGATTTCCCAATTTGCTTTGCGTAATCAAATATATGACCTGTCAGAAGCCGAGAGGAGGGGGCCGGGGGATGAGGCAGCTAGCGGAAGATAACTGTTCTCCGCGAGGCTTTAGAAGTCTCCTTTTCCCTGCTCCCTGCTCTGCATGTCTAGTAAAAAAAAAAAAAAAAAAAGCTGAACAAAAAAAGGACAATGTGATCTGCGCTCTCATCCCTCCTCCGTGAGAAGCAAGGTTTAAATCACAGGCATTTATGACAGAAGGGGACGCACTTAGTCAGCGCCACCTCGTTTTACAAACGGAGACGAAAATTGAGTTTTAGAGAGTGCGTGGGACTTGCTAAGGAGACACGCAGCTCCATAATGACTGCGTGGGACCAAAGGGTCCACAGTAACTCCCCCTCCACCTCAAAGTCTTCACACCATTCAAAG